TAGATAATTTGTGACCACAATAAAAGCCGTTTCTGTGGAGTGATGGGGATGAACATCCAGTTGGAGTAACTTGAGGAGAGAATAAGAGATAAAAAAAAAAAAAGAATGCAAAATAGGTTTGAGAATGTCCCAGTTATCTATTGCTACCTCAAAAAACACAATACTTAGTAGCTTAAAACAGTGACTCTGCAGGGAGAGTGTCTGCTCCATGTGGTATCAGCTGGGGTAGCTCAAAAGCTGGGGCTGGAGTCATCTGAAGGCTCACTCAGCCATGTCCGGTGGTTGAGACTGGCTTTCAGCCAGAACCCCTGCATGTGCTCTGGGCTTCCTCACAACATGGTGGCTGGGTTCCAAGGGCAAGTTCTGAGAAAGCCTGGTGGAAACCTATCACTTTTGATGACCTAGCCCTGGAAGTCACATTGTGTCATTTCTGCAGTTATCTTCAACAAGGCAGCGAGAAAGTTTCCTCCAGGTTGAAGAAAAATATAATAGATTCCTCCCATCAAGGGAGGAATGAGTGAAGCCAGAACCATTGTCCTGCCATTTTCTGAAAATACATCTGCCACAAGGGGTTTTGTTGTAAAGGGAGCAAAATTTAGGACAGTAGCTTGAGGGGAATGTGGACAGGTCAGCTTACCCAGTAGGCACAGTGCCTAGGGCCCAATATTTTAAATTTCTTTTAAAACCAGAATAAAGGCAAGCATGGTGGCTCATGCCTATGATCCCAGCACTTGGGAGGCCAAGGCACGAGGGTCACTTGAACCCAGGAGTTCAAGACTGGGAAACATAGTGAGACCTTGTCTCTACTAAATATCAAAAAACTAACCAAGCATGGTGGCACACAACTGCAGTCCTATATACTCAGGAGGCTGAGGCGGGAGGATTGCTTGAGCCCAGGAGGTCGCGGCTATAGTGAGCCCTGATAGCACCAGTACACTCCAGCCTGGGCGACAGAGACCCTATCTCAGGATAAAGACATTAGTTAATTAAAATAAAATCAGAGCCAGGAGCGGTGGCTCATGCCTGTAATCCCAGCACTTTGGGAGGCCAAAGTGGATGGATCACTTGAGGTCAGGAGTTCAAGACTAGCCTGACCAACATGGTGAAACCCTGTCTCTACTAAAAATAGAAAATTAGCCGGGCGTGGTGGTGCACACCTGTAATCCCAGCTACTTGGGAGGCTGAGGCAGGAGAATCACTTGAACCTGGCAGGGCAGAGGTTGCAGTGAGCCGAGATCGTGCCATTGCACTCCAGCCTGGGTGACAGAGCAAGACTCTGTCTCAAAATAATAATAATAAAATAAAATCATAATTAAAAAGAAACACCCAGTCTAGATTATGTTCCTTTTTATACCAGTGATAATTATTAATATTTATTTAATATTTTTTCAATATTTATATTATGACCCATGAAGGCAAAAACGTGGGGCCCATGAACGTCATAATGTAGCCCTGAATGTGGGGTCAAGGAGGGATTTTTGTCTTGTTTTAATAAAGGCAATATTACAGCACATCTGAATGCCGACGGGAATGCCATTAGAGAGGGATGAGTGGAGGCTGCAGAAGAGAAAGGGAGTAACTGCGGGAATGAAGCTTTCGAGTAGGTAAAGAGAGATGGGATCTAGGAAACAAGTAGCAGTATTGACGGGGACAAGGGGAAGGGCACGCTGCTTCCACTGAGACTGGAAGGGGGCAGAGGACATGGGCACAGATACAGAGAAGTTGGTAAACACTGGTGGGAAGATGAGTCACTGCCTCGTCTGTCTCTGTGAAGTGCGTGACAGTGTGGGAGTGAGTGGAAGGTTTGAGGGCAGGAAGCACTATGGAATAGTCATCTCAGAGGGAGGGAGAGGGAATTCGGCGGGAAGAATATGTAGTATGATTGTCTGACATGATCTGAAGTGTGTGCAGCCAGCATGATTTGTGATGTCCCCCAGCGATGTCCAGGCTCCCCACTGTAGGGAAGGTGTTACTGCATAGTTAGCGTACAGCCTTAACCAGGGCCAGGCCAAGTGAGGCATTAGGAGAACAAAAGTCAAAATGGACAGAATGCTGGGCCATGGAATGAGGATAATAAGGAGGAGAGTGAGGAGATGAGCAAGATGACAGATGTTAAAAACGGATCAGCAGGTTGGAAGTCACAATGAGATTAGTGAATTATTGGAGTGAAGGTATTAGAGTAACAGATGGAAGGGGTGGGGTGCTGATAAGAGAAGGCAGCATTTGAATGTTTCAGAGGTAGTAGAGATTGGTGACAGCAAGGCCTAGGGTGGTGATCCTCAAACTTCAGTATGCATTGGAAGCACCTGGAGGGGCTTGTTAAAACACAGACTCCTGGCCCCAACCCACAGTTCCTGATTCAGTAGGTCTGAGGTGGGGCCTAAGACTTTGCATTTCTAACAAGCTCCCAGATGCTGCACTTGTGGCTCAGGGACCACAAGTGAATGAAAGTCCTAGGTAAGGTGGAAGAAAAGCTCTTTGGAACTAAAGAGACCAAGGACCAGGCCAAACACGGTGACTCACACATGTGGGACCATGCCAGGTTGCCAGCAATTAGAGAGTAAGAGGGCAGTGCGACCCCCACACATACTCTCACTGGGGCTGGGCGCAGTGGCTCATGCCTGTAATCCCAGCACTTTGGGAGACCAAGGCAAGCAGATCATCTGAGGTCAGGAGTTTGAGACCAGCCTGGTCAACATGGTGAAACCCCGTCTCTACTAAAAATACAAAAATTGGCCAGGCGTGGTGGCGCGTACCTGTAATCCCAGTTACTAGGAAGGCTGAGGCAGGAGAATTGCTTGAACCCAGGAGGCGGAAGTTGCAATGAGCCGAGGTCACGCCATTGTACTCCAGCCTGGGTGAAAAGAGCAAAAGCTCTGTCTCAAAAAAAAAGGGAGATCAAGGACCTTTGAGGCCAGTGTGTGGGATGGGCTGTTTATCCACTTGGATGTCAGAGTCACTGAAATGACTGACATGATGCTTTGAGACAAGCAGGGAAGTCAACAGTGAATTACAGCAAGGAGGGAAGTAAATAGTGGCAAGGAGTCAGATGTGGCTTCAAAGGGACTGGCCTTTTCTAGGGAAAAAACAATAAAAGACCATTTGGAGGCAAGAGTGAGAAGAGAGGAGGACACTAGCCCTGTTATCTAGACCTTGAGGTGTGTGGGGGAGAAAAACCCACCACCACTTGAAAGGATGACAGAAGAAATCACATTTCTCCTTCAGGAATAGCAAGAAAGTTAAAAGAGCTTTCAGAGCTCAGTGACGTCTGGAGGCAGAGAACAGTGAGAGAGGAGGTCAGGCCTGGAGATGTGCAAAACAATTCAGGCTGAACACCCAGTGAGGGACGGGTAGGTTAAGGACAGATTCACTGGAAATGCTGCCTCTGAAGTCTTCTAGAAAAATGAGTGTCGCTGGGCGCAGTGGCTCACGCCTATAATCCCAGCACTTTGGGAGACCAAGGCGGGTGGATCACTTGAGGTCAGGAGTTTCAGACCAGCCTGGCCAACATGGTGAAACCCCGTCTCTACTAAAAATACAAAAATTAGCTGGGCGTTGGGTGCAACAAACCGACATGGCATATGTATACCTATGTAACAAACCTGCATGTTATGCACATGTACCCTAGAACTTAAAGTATAATAAAAAAAAAAAAAGATTTTAAAAAACCCTGGGTGTTGTGGTGGGCACCTGTAATCCCAGCTGCTCGGGAGGCTGAGGCATGAGAATCACTTGAACCTGGAGGTGGAGCTTGCAGTGAGCCAAGATCGTGTCACTGCACTCCAGCCTGGGCGACAGAGTGAGACCCTGTCTCAAAAAATATTTTTTTTAAAAAAAAAAAGAAAAAAAAAAGAAAAACGTGTGTCCCAGGTCTTTTGATTTCTTGGAGGTGTCATTTTTATGTTACATTAAAATAAGCATGAATATGTAATTGTTCAAAAGCAAATTTACATGGCCTTTAATGTAAAAGTAAGAGCCTTCAAAAATATTTTAGGCCATGCTCCCAGATCCTTCTCACATGTTAGTATTTTGGAGGAAATGTGAAAAAAGCACTACCCCTAGGTCTTGGGTGAAGAGTTGGAGGGAGGTATTTGTATTTTTAATCAGAAAGTGAAAAGCTCCCAAGATCAAAGGTGTGATCTGGAAAGGAGCTTCAGATCCTGTGTCAGGAACTGAGTTAGCCTGGAAAGAGAGTTGCTCACCTAGAGCCCTTCCCATCATCGATTCTGCCTCTTTTCACTAGACCATCTGAGGGGCGAGTCTCAGATCACCAGTGGATTCTGTTTTACAGATTAGGACTTGATGTCACTTCCTCTCTGGGCTTGAGTCTCCTGTCTCCAAGATGGGCCTCCCTGGAGCAATGTGGGGCCCAGCTAAAGAGACATGGAGTGAGTGAGATGGGAGGATCCCAGCCTGGCACCCCGACTCTTTCTTCACTCTGCGTCCCTCTGCTTACCTCTCAATTTCTTCCCCTTCTACCTCTTCAGAGTCTGCCTGGGCCAGCTTGGTTGCTTTGTTAACAAGGCTAAGGGAGGGGGTGAGACTGGAGGAGCTTAGACTGGAGGTCAGAACTTCCAGGGTAATCTCCTTTTTTTCTTTTTTTGAGATGGAGTCTTGCTGTGTCCCCCAGGCTGGAGTGCAGTGGCGCAATCTCGGCTCACTGTAACCTCCGCCTCCTGGGTTCGAGCGATTCTGCTGCCTCAGCCTCCTGAGTAGCTGGGATTACAGGTGCCTGCCACCACACCCAGCTAATTTTTTAGTATTTTTAGTAGAGACAGGGTTTCACCATGTTGGCCAGGCTGGTCTCGAACTCCTGATCTCGTGATCCACCCACCTCAGCCTCCCAAAGTGCTGGGATTACAGGCATGAGCCACTGCGCCCGGCTGCCCGGGGAATCTTCTAATAGTCTTAGGACGGCTTAGCTGACCTGGGCCCACCTCCCTTGCCACCTGCCCCCTGCACTGACGATCATGTTCAGTCACCCAGGAGATGATGGAGAGGCTGATCAGGCCTCCTGGAAAGGGAGGAAGAGGGCCCTAGCTGGAGAGATCCATCAGCAGAAGCCAGGGAGGAGACACAGACCCTTGCTCCCTGACGCTCCTCAGGGCCAGCATGGGGCAGGAGTTTAGCTGGGAGGAGGCAGAGGAAGCTGGCGAGATAGATGTGGCAGAGCTCCAGGAGTGGTACAAGAAGTTCGTGATGGAGTGCCCCAGCGGCACACTCTTTATGCATGAGTTTAAACGCTTCTTCAAGGTCACAGACGATGAGGAGGCCTCCCAGTACGTAGAGGGCATGTTCCGAGCCTTCGACAAGAATGGGGTAAGGCACCCTGAAGGGAAGGAACGGTGGCCAGTCCAGCTGGCGCCTTCCTCCACGAGTGTCCTCAGGGAGCGCTCCCAGTTCCCCACTCCGGCTCTTTCTCTACTCTTCTTTCCACTCCATCTCTCGTTACCTTTTCTGTGTCACTCCCCAAACCCTTCTGTCTCTTCTTTTTTGTCCCTTTCCATCTTATCTGTCTCTCCTTCCCTCCCTCTATCTCTCAGCTGTCGGCTGATGTTCCCTGTGTCCTCTTCTTGAGAGCTGAAGGGGGACTGGCAGACAGTCCAGGTCCTCTCTTTGTGTACTTTTGGCCAAGACTCTGCAGCCAATGACTGGGTTTTCACATCTGCCAGAGACCCTGTCACTCTAAACACTAGGAGCAAAAGAGATGTTCCAAATGGGATGAGGTATCTTAGCATGGGCTATGAGCTCCCTCTCGTTGGGGTTCTTCGAACTGAGACTGGTCAGATTCTCCCTGTCAAGAATGCTGGAGGAGGCTCCTGCATGGGTTGGGAGACTGGGAGGATGACTGCAAAAGCCCCTTTCAGCTCTTAAAGTCCAGGAAGGTTTCATGAAATCATTCAGACCAGAGTTTCTCTAAGCCCCCCAATGTCACCAGTTGCTAAGAAGATAACACATCTTGTAAATGTACCTGGGGATTGAATTTTAAATTTCAATTCAGTTTAAAAACCCCTTGATTATTTAAGTTTAAAAACCCCTTGATTATTTAAAAACCCCTTGATTATTTAAAAACCCCTTGATTATCCAGTTCAGTGCCCTGGCAATCCTGCAAACCACTGAATTTGCCTCAAATACCTATTTAATTGGGAGAAAGCATCAGTACTCCACTTCTCAGTGCCTGGAGAATTTAGCTTTCTAAGCTGAATCACTGGGAATGCCACTTCAGGTCTCATCCTGCTGCTGGTACCAGTCAGTGCACATCCCCACAGTGCCTGTCCCAGGACAGGATGGTGAGGTCAGCATCTTCAATTCAACAGAACCTCCTCAGAGATGAACCCCATCGACCACCCCACAGGGCACAGAGCCAGTTTCGGGCTTCTTAGCACTCCCCCTCTCCTCGGTCTCCTCTGAGTCAGCAGCAACCCTGGGTGGGAGGGGCAGACTTTTGTTATTCCAGATTAAATGATGAGAAAGCTGGGCAAAAGGAAATGAATCCATTTGCCCAAGGTCTTAAGTGCTCCTGCTTAGAAGGCAGATTTTTTAAAGAGAGAAGATGAGTTTTTAAAATAATTGATGATTTTTTTAAATGTCTTAAGAAAAGTAAACAAATATATCAGGTCATAAATAATACGACTCATTTAAGTCCATCAATCTTCCCCAGATTCATCTAAAAATCAATACAATCATGATTCAAGATAGAAAAGGGCTGATTAAGCCCCTAGGCATATTGTTGTACTCCTTATGCCTCATCTCTTCTTATAAATCGGCATATCATGTTCATCAATGTTTTTTCCTTTTTGGATAATTTCTTAATTTTGCTATGATTCTAAATTTACAGAAAAGTTACAAGAATGATACAAGTAACTCCCATATGCAATTTATCCAAATTTCCCCAGTTATTTACATTTTATCTCATTTACTTTATCATTCTGCCTCTCTCTGTATACATACATATATATAATGTATCCTATAAGTATATATACATATACATGATACATAATTTATACATATGCAGAATATATACATATACTTTTTTTAAGAGAAAGTTACAGATATCATGCCTATTTATCCCCAAGTAGTTCAGTGTGTATTTTCTTTTTCTTTTTGGTTTTTGAGACAGGGTCTCACTCTGTCACCCAGGCTATAGTACAGTGGCATGATCTCAGCTCTTTGCAGCCTCTGATTTCCAAGGCTCAAGGGATCCTCCCACCTCAACCTCTCAAGTAGCTGGGATTACAGATGTGCACCACCATGCGTGCTAATTTTTGTATTATTTATGTTGCCCAGGCTGAAGTCCAGTGGCACGATCTCAGCTCACTGCAATCTCCACCTCCCGGATTCAAGCGATTCTCGTGCCTCATCCTCCCGAGTAGCTAGGATTATAGGTGCGCACCCCCATGCCTGGCTAATTTTTGTATTTTTAGTAGAAACAGGATTTCACCATGTTAACCAGGCTGGTGTCGAACTCCTGACCTGAAGTGATCCGCCCACCTCGGCCTCCCAGAGTGCTAGGATTACAGGCATGAGCCACTGCACCTGGTCAGCTTTCTTTCTTTTTTCCTTTTTCTTTTCTTTTCTTTTTCTTTTTTTTTTTTTTTTTTTTTGAGATAGAGTGCAGGGGTGTGATCTCAGCTCACTGCAACCTCCACCTCCCAGGTTCAAGCGATTCTCCTGCCTCAGCCTCCCCAGTAGCTGGAACTACAGGCGAGTGCCACCATGCCCAGCTAATTTTTGTATTTTTAGTAGAGACAGGGTTTCACCATGTTAGCCAGGATGGTCTCCATCTCTTGACTTCATGATCCGCCAGCCTCAGTCTCCCAAAGTGTTAGGATTACAGGCATGAGCCACTGCACCCGGCCTTCCTTTTCCTTTGTTTGTTTGTTGCTGCTGTTGTTGTTGTTGTTGTTTGGTGTGATCACACATTGCATTTCCTTGTTGTATCCTCCTTAGTCTTCTTTAACTTGGAACCTTTAATCTCAGCTTTTCTTTTTTATTTGGCTGTGACATTTTTGAAGACTGCGCACCTCCATGCCTGGCTGAATTATGTGGTAGGACACCCCACAATTGGTGTTTGCCTGAATTGGCAGAATTGCCACTGATGTGCTGTTGTGTCCTCGGTGCATCATATCATCAGGCATAAGATGTCAGTTTGTCCCGTCACTGGCACAGTTAACTTTGATCACTTGGTTAAGGTGGTATCTGCCATGTTTCAACACTGTAAAGTTACTATTTTTTTTCTTTGTAATTAATAAGCATCTCGTGGGGATATACCTTAAGACTAAGTAAATATCCTATTGTTCAGTCAAATTTTCTACTGGCTTTGGCATCTGTTGATAATTTTCTAACCCCACCACCCCTTCTCTATTTACTAGTTGGTGTTCCACTGTAAGGAAGAGCCTCCCTAGAACGTGTTTGTAAGTTCCTCTCTCAGGGACTGAGTCTTCTTTCCCACTTAGTCTTTGTCTCCAAACCTACACCTGACTCTATTTCCCTTTATATCGAGGAGTGTCATTTCTGAACAATCGGTCTGAGATTTCTAAAGCAAATCAAATCAAAAGAGTTTATGGATCTGATTCACATGTGAAAATCTGAGGTGATGGAAACTGGTTTGGTGGAGACAAAGGGGTAGGAACACCTCATCTCCGCCACTTTCCCTTGCAACTCTGGTGGTTGCCCTATGACCGCCTAGAATGGAAGAAAGGGGAGAGTCAAGATCAAATGTCATTTGGGATTCTTGTATAAGATGCATTGGGGTCAGGGCTGGTGCACAAATGTGGCCAATTCAAGGAGAAACAGGGCAGATAATCCCACAGAGCCGGTGACACGCCCATCCTATTCCTGAGTAGACAGAGCCATTTCCATCACTCTCAGACCTCTGTGGGTAATTGGAGCTGACAAGGTCCCATGCACAGCAGATGAGATTAGTCCCAGCTGGAAGTTTCCCAGAAATGGTCCTGGGGTTTCCAGTAACCTCTCAGATGAGATCACTTGTCTAGAGATCACTCTGGACTATGTCTCATATAAGGCAAGGAGTCATGGAAACTGAATCATGTTGAGAGGATGTTGTAGGAACAGAAGTTTTGGGACAAAGAATGAGGAAGACTGGAGATTTAGAGCGTGGGGATTTGTGGTGGTTTCAGGTTTTTTGTTTTTGTTTTTCTTCTCTTGGCATCCCCAAGCACTAAGCTCATTTGCTGGACAGAAATAGATCTTAAGTGGAGACTGCAGGTTTTTCCGACTTGATGAACTGGAGGAGATGTGTGCCTGGAAAAGCTCTGCCACTTGCTGGCTGGGTGGCCTGGGAACCTCTGGGTCGCAGACTCCTCATCCATAAAATGGGGATAATAAATCATCCTCATTAAATAAGAAACGCAAGTTTGCTTTGTGGTAAGCTTAATAAATAACAACGACTCAAGAAAATAGCCTTTTAAAGAACTGACAACCACTGCCAAGTGTCTACCCTAAAA